CCGGATAGCGCAGACTGGCACAGAGTCTAAGTCAAGTCCGGATAAATTTCTGGCTAAACTTCACCATATCTGGAATGAAATCCAGATAACCAGAGGTTAGGTTACATAAAAGTTCATGGGCTACACATTTCAAGATCTACAGTATCAAACTATGACACAAACTACAACAAGGTAAGTTCAACTTTCTCTTTTCAATTATATTTTTTATTTATAGTGCATACGGAGATTCAAATTATGTTGGTTGTGGTACAAAAAAATTGCAAATATGGTAATTTTTGGACCTCTCCTGTAAGAATTCTGCTTATCTGGAAGTCTGGTTCATCCGGTGATGGGTTCTACTTATATAGTCCGAATAAGCGAGCTTAGACAGTACTGTATATTCTATGTACACTGTTTGAATTTAGTGCAAAATATGGGTGACTGGGCAAACTCCAATAACCAGTCATAAGATTATTACACTCACCACAAATGCTAAGTGATTCGTAATGTTACATGCAAATGCTGATTGTTAAATATATAAATATTGTATATGGTGTGCATATCACTAATATGCACACCATATTTTTGAGTACAGTATAATGATGGTCCACACGTATTATTATATACATTTATCATATTACAAACTATTGAATAATATTACTGCAAAATACAGACACATTCAAATACAGTAATTAAGTAATAATGTCTTTGTGGCAACTCCCGCTGGGCTGGAGCAAACCATGCGGGCAAGTGCTCTGTCAATACCTGTATCTTGCCAGACTTCTTTGCCCCCCACCCATGGCCAAAGTACGTAACATACAATTTTTATTTTTCAGTGATTATCTTTGATTTTAGGAGGGTGGGTAAATTTTGAGAAACGCACAAATCGCCCCTTAAAGGTGACATGTAATGCAGTGAAACAAATCACGAAAGTCCTAGAAAATACCAGGAAATTGTAAAATGATGAAGATGTAAAACTCTGGTCATTAGACGATACTTCTCAAAGAACGACAGACGAAAGCTAAAAGTGCTTAGCTTCAACCTTGTTGAAGCAAAACGTCTTAATGAGAAAAAAATGAAGAAGTAATAATTTTTTTCTACAAGGTGATAGGGATAGGCAAGCCTGTGAAATGGTATAAAAAAGCAAACCAACAAAATCATTTGAGAAATGGGGAGTAAAGGACAAGGGAAGAGGAAATGTGTTCCTGAAAATAGTATAAGTACTAACATAGATTGTAAGATAAAAAAAACTGGAGCTGAACGATACAATATAGCTTAAGATGCCAAAGATTGTTGCACAAACAGACATGAAACTCAAAAATGATATTTTAAATAAGGTTGTATGCCCGACTAGAATTAGTATCAGGATTATAATTTGTTTTTTCTATGCAGAAAGTGTATGCCTGGGGGATCAGAGAATGACCCAACTCCAAAAAATGACTCACCAGATAGAATAAGTGCAACAAAACTTATCTTTTGAAATCTTGAAATAATATAAATGTCAATGTAATGTACTTCAATGTAAACAAGGCAAACGACGATTGGCGCAGGGTAGTTGCCCCCGACAGCAATGTACCCTACCATCACCTGATTACAAACTAGGACGCCTGAGTGTCTCAGCCAGCCACCCACCTTACTCATGCTTATCCCATAAATGTCTCGAATCTGGACAGCATGGAAATAAATAACTTGGCTGGAAGGAAGAGGCAAATGTAAGACCAATGATTGGTCAAGGAAAAATACATCCACTGAAAAAATCCTTACACTTCGAAAAGTGCCTCATGAAGAAGTAAACAGAACTACCTGAATAAATCCAAACATTATGCAAAACCAGTAGGATACCTCATCTACTGCTTACTCTGTCAAAATCAGACTGAAATGGGAGAGGTTATTAGAGAAAATGTTCAAAACCCTCAATTGCTATCCAGTGGAAAGAGGCCCCCATCTACCACACATTCCATTAAACTATCTACCATCATGGTCAAAATCAGAAAGAAATGGGAGAAATTATTAGCAAAAACACATAAACAACCCAACTGTGATCCACAAAGGACTAAAATCTAAGAAGCCATAAAGGAGGCTATCTTCAATGGCAACTTCCACAAGCAAAGAGATTAATTGAGCTCCCTTTCTTGAGACAATGAACCACCAGAGTGTACAGAATGAAAGCAGAGTGCGTTGCCCGGCAAGAGACGAGTGTGCAAAAATGCAATTCAGACCACCAAAAATTCTAGCACTGCTAAATGTACAGTATGTAAGTGGGTACACTACACATCCTTCAACAGCTCGGTGAAAGCTAAAGATGAAACCCCAGCCCAGATTGAATGCACTTGTGAACATCTCGAGTGATGTAAGAGAGTACAGTGGAACTTTACCCCGATAAAGCTGATGAGAAAAACAACAATGCATAATCTACCTCGTGAGAAACAGGAAATGCATTGCTCTGTCCCAGAACTGGCAGAAGGATGCCCACCCAAGAAAGTGGTAAAGTGCTTTCAACCACACATACAGATAAAGAGGGAAAACCATGCAGGTAAAGTTCAAGCTGCCCATGAGGCAGAACTAATGTCCCAGGATTAGCCAACACATTTAGTTGAAAGTACAAATAAAACATTTGGGCCCCTGTCAGAGACCTGGATCATCATCTGACCCTCAACCTTCACTTGTCTTGTAAAGAAATCAGAGGCCAGATTCATGAAGCATTTATGCAAGCACTTATGAACCTGTATATCTTTTCTCAATTTTTGGCGGCTTGTTTACAATTATTAAACAGTTTATGAATTTTGAACCACCAGGAGGCTGTTTATAACAATAACAACAGTTTACTGGGAAGTTTTCATGCTTGTAAACTGTTTAATAAATGTAACCATAGTCGTCAAAGATTGAGGAATTATGTACACGTTCGTAAGTACTTGCATAGCTGCTTTGTGAATCTGGCCCCTGATTCAGGTCCTTGCTTCCAAGAGGAGAGGATGGGTCTCAGTGGCCTGGTTCATTTCCTTGAGAGGCTAGGTCTCAGAGGCCTGGTTCATTTCCTATGCTCGACAGTCTGAGAGTTCAGCTTGGTATGCTACTGAAGGACCTCTTCCCCAAAAAAGTAAAAAATTTAAAATAGGCCCTAAGTATTTGGGACTTATTATCCAGATGAACAGCAATACAGTGGTAAGCAGTCACCTCATATCTAAGTCTTGGGCAGGGTGAGACACCTGGAAAAATTTTCCTTCCACTCCATGTTTCTGTTCACCTAGCAGTAAATATATACCTGGAAGTTAGTCAACTGTTGTGGGATGCAGACTAGGGAAGATTTGTCATTGGTCAAGCCTAAAAGGTTTTTTGTCCTTGACAATATGAAGCCATTATAAAATGAAAATTTACATCTACAATTAATATTTAAGCACATGATCAATGTTTTATGGTGTTGTTCACATTGAAAACTGCAGGCCTAGTACTATTATTGCACCTAAAACTCACCTGAAAGTCCTGCTACTTCACTCTCGACAACCTACATGTAAGACCAAGGACAAGGCCTGTCTCCACTCCACTTCCTCCCCCCCCCCCCCCCCCCCCTCACCACCATTATACATGTCCTTACCCATGTGAAGGCTTCAAACAAAATTCTTCAAACTGTACTGTCCTGGTTAGTTTTATATCCTATTGATTCAGCTTGGAGAGGAGATGGCGATCTGAAATCATCCAGATCCACAAAAAGCCTGAACTATATCCTGTTTTGAATGCCATAAATTATGTAGCTATTTAAATTGACTTGGGCAATTCACTGTTTTAAGAAATTTTGTTCCTTTGGAAAAAAGGCCAGGCCACCGTATCTTTCTTATAGCAACATGAAAATTACAGCCTAAATATATTATATGCCTCTTTTTTTTTTTTATGCAGTTATCTGTTTACTAAAGACGTAATTATTTGCTGGTAAATTCTCCATTTGAGACCACTATGGCCATATATCAAAATACACGGTAGACGTATCAAAGTCTACCTACTGTAAACATTGCGTAAAAATTAATTATTACATAAAATATATGAATTGCTTAGCACAGAAATTAATGTTAGTTGTAAGAAGAGGTAAATTGCAATAATATATCACAATTTAAGACATTAAAAAATCTAAATTACAGTAGTTCATTATCTACATTTGTCTGAATCATAACACCCCCCATACATAACAATTTTACCAAAGCAATAATGCCAATATTTTTGTCATGGGAAACCCTTAAAATAATTAACATAAGGCACAATGCTAAACAATAGGACCACCAAGCCAATTATTTCTAAATTGTCTCAATTCAGTTTCATTCTACTCACTATTCTCCCTAGTTTTTTCAACAAACTTTGGTTATTCCTTTATACTTCATAATCTTCACGATCAACTGATGGTTCACAAATTTTAGTCACACTACCACATTAACATCTCTCAACTAGTGTTCTAAATGTTGCTGAGAGTGCTGCAAGGCTCAATAGATAAACAAATTAAAATAAATATCCTGCTTAGTAATAATACTAAGTAAAAAGGGAATAATATACTTTTATTTGAATGATGTAATACCATTGCAAGCTCTCTAGAAATTTATCTAACTCCATCAACCAGATTTGTGAAGGTAATATTTTAAAGAAATAATTTAGCTATAATACTGAAATATGAATACTGAGGATTATACGAAAGTAAAGCAAATTGTCCATCGGAGGAAAGTAGCATAATTTAAAAAATCACTCACTTTGTACAATCCAACATGATAAAAATAAGATTGTTCACCGTGAATATGAAGAAAAATGTTTTTCCATTGGTTAGATAAACAAGTATAAGGATGATCATTAGTCAAGACTTTTATTTTTAAAAGTCTTCTGAACCATTAAAATATTAACAGCTAGACAGACAAGCACAAGATTTAACTTACGTAAATCCTACCTTCTCTATGCCTAAATAAATAAAAATGTAAACAATAACAAATAACATTTTGAATTAAAAAAAAAAGTCAAATACCGACATAGTGAAAGAGTGAGAAACATACCTGTCTGACCGCTTCATTAGCAGCAGAGCGCGTGGTGAAAGTAATGAAGGCGTAACCTCTATTTTGACCTGTCATTGGGTCCATCATAAGGCGTAAATCCCAAATCTCACCACATTTTTCAAAAAGAGGAATCAACTCATCCTCATAAAGTTCTTTGGGGATTTTTCCACAAAAAACCTAAAAGAAATAAACATTTTAGTTAATGCTCTTTTTAAAAACTTAAACTGTGTTATATAAACTGTATTAGTTTGTGAAATAAGACAAATTTTTACTAATCACTATTACACTACAGCATTTAAAACTATTTAAAATCAAGATTATGTTCAATGATGTCGTCTCATTGAAAAATATATCCCTAGAACAAATCCACAAGGGCCGTGACGAGGATTCAAACCTGCATCCGAGAGCATCCCAGATGCTGCCTTAATCGACTGAGCTAATCCGTAGTCTAGTATCACAGAATTCATTGCAATAGGATGTGGAGTGTCATGTAATTTTCCTTAGAATCATTCAAATGTTGCGTCAGCCAGCTAGCCACAGGAACATTTCATATTAATATATCGAGTAGAATCCAGCCTTATTTTGCCTTTTTATTAAGGATAAGCATATATTAATGGATTCACTTTTCGTTAGTAAATTTTTTCTGTTACTGGAATTAATTTATGCAGCCACGATTTCCTGTATCAGTGACTTGAATGATAAACTGTATCTTCACTCCAGACCTTTTCTCATTCATTTAATATGGTCTAAATTAATTGACTACATCACAAGAAGAGACGTGTCGCCACATAATACCTTTATTGTGACGTAAATATTCATCATATCGCATTTCCTTCCATATAATTTATGCTCGGAACCCCTACTGAGAGCTATGAGCATGTGCGACTTTCGAGCAGGAAGGGAGAGAAGACGCCATACTGGCGAGAGAGAGAAAAAGAGAGACACAACAACCGCCATTGCAAAGGTGTTCTGAAGTTTGCTTATCGACATCAGTCTTAATTTTGGAGCATCTGGTCATCTACTGACTCCAGACTGATCCTGCAACTTCAATTTTACCGACACCACATTTGACAGGGAAGATTAGTATCCTTATTGTTTTTAGAGGACTTTAAAATAGAATTGGGTTACCTTGCTGTTCGTTATGATGTTTGGCGAAACTTAATCCTAAATAAGTGTACTGCTGGTTCCCAGATACATTTAGAATTTACTATTAAACGAATGATTCTAAGGTTTGAAGTGGAATTTACATAATATTTGCATTTCAGCTGGAGTACCAGCATAGGCGAGACCACAGCGTCAATCATAATCACGTGTTTCAAGGATCATTATCTCAGGGCTGATTCCAGACTGTTGTAGAGATTGGACATTAACTACGTTCCTCTGTCACCGCTGAGATTTAATTAGTTCTTATTGTAGATAGTTCTCTCTCAGTGTGAGAATCATACATACATACTATATTGCATTGATTACATAGTGTTTAATCTTTATCGTGCAGTAGTATTTTTGCATTACAATTTATTAATCCATATAATCTGTGTAAGTGCATATTATCATCATCATCATGTATACAATTATTATACATGCATCACGTAGACTAACCTCATAGAATATTCCCCAGAATAGAATATTAGAATTTATTACATTTAATCATAGAGATCCATAAGCCACTGGTTTTCTCATTTAGAATAGAATTCTGGTCCTTCGAACTATCTTAGAGTTAATTATTATTTTGCATTAATAGAATTATACATTTTATTAGTATTAAACTAGAGCCAGATTTCCCCACACCAAGGACACCTTAGGAAGCAGCAGACCCAAACATCACCCGAGAAGGAGACTGCATCAAAAGAACAACCTACCACGAGGACCAACGAGGCAGAAAAACACAGGATTCAGAGGAGAGCCGAAAGCTCCCCGACCCGACCCCTAGAGATGAACACGAACAGGAGACCTGAAAAACAATAATACACCAGAACCAAAGGGATCACGACAACCGAGGAGAAGAAAATAGACCACCCAAGCCAACGACCAGGACACCAGAAGCGCAAGATTGGGCAGGAGGCAAAACAACGCCCAAGAGAGCAAGCGGAACGGAGCAGAAGGAATAACAACACTGAATGCAAGCTGGAGCGGCTCCGCCAGCGCCACCCAAGACAAGGCAACAGTACACAGCACCAGAAAACAGTCCCAGAATAACCCCGAAGGGAAAGACAAGACAACCCTATCAGAGATCGAAGAACCCTTCACAGTGATAGGAAAACCAGAAGGACCGCCAGGAAACCATACACAGCCACCGAGACGAAGCACGCAGGTGGGAGACAACGAAGCCACCAGTGCCCCTACAAACGACGAGAACACGAGACAAAAACCCCAGACGCGAAGACTTGAGGGGAAGAACGAACAAGCCCAGTACAGGTATGGACCGATCCGCAAAATGAGGCGGAGCCGCGGGAAGCCCCTCAGGATCGGAACTGAGGAAAGCAGAGCCCCCAAACAAGGCTGGCAAAAACCAGAAGGAACAGCCGCCAGGATACCAGGGACCCAATTCCGGCGAGCCGAAAAGTAACCAACCCGGAGGAGCAGAAACGCTCCGTCCGGGAGGAAACATCCCCCCCCCCTCCAGGACCCTGGAAGGACCAACAAGGCCAAACACCGAAGAGCTAGGGCCCAGGCAGAGGCCAACAAGGAAACGAGCACAACGAACTAAAGCGCAAGACGCGAAGCGAAAAGCAGTGACCCCACAACCCTAAGGAGCAGCACAACCAGCACAAGCAGGAAAGAACAAGGCACACGTCACCAAGGTACACAGGAGAACTACTCAGGACGTGTACCACAAGAAAACAAAAATGCACGTTCCGGAAAAAGAACAAAGAAAAGTTGGAGCCAGGACCGGAATCCAAGCTACCCCTGTCCCAATAAAAGGAACCACAGGAGGGCTGGAGTGGTTGACCGGAAGTCCACAACCTCTCGCAGACATCGCAACAAGGGAAAACAAGGAAAAGTGAACTCAATACCAAAACTGAAGACTGGGGTAATCCAAAATCATGGAACGGAACATGGACAGAAGCCCACCCCAGCACCTAACAACAGTAAAGCCAATATGCACCAACCAAGATACACAGCCATGTGTAGCATAGAAGGAGAGGAAAACAGAAATAGGAAAAGAAAAGACTGGAATATGGACCAAGTAGCAGCCGGTAATGCAATGTAAACGACTAACCACAACGTGTGGTGTGGGTCAACGTGAGTCGTTCCCCCCAAAGCCCCAGCCCCACAAGTAAAAGCTGGGGCAGCCATACAAAACACTAAGGAAGGGAGCCCACTGGTCAGACCCATATGGCACGGCTGGAAGAACAGGCTCGAATGCCTCTGCTGCCACCCCGGAAGAGGAAACCCCGAGACCGCCTGAGTCTCAACCCAACCTGAACCTGCCCCAACCCCGAAACCCGCGTACGGTTCGGAGCCGGAAGCAAGGGGAAGGAAGTATGCACAACAGAAGGGAAAGGGCGATGAGGAGCGGACGGAACCGGAGCCGAAACGACTCCCACCCCTAAGTTCGGACCCCTTAACCAAAACAGGGCAGTCTCGGGGCATCCGGGGCTGCAACCAATCTAGAGCATTGCAGCAACCTAAACCTATCATGCAACGCCACAGCTGCCTGCACCCGCACATCATTATCTGTGGCTTGGGTGAACGGGAGCACGAACAGACAACACACGTCGCACGACTCCGGGTCAAAGCAATCATCGACCCAACAGGCAGCATGGCGGAGAAAAACAGGCAAGTGTCACCTTGAGACAAGGAGACAGAGCAACTGTCAAACTCGCAAAACACGAGGGGGGAGACCACCAAACACAGAAATATAGATATACAAATATATATACCCCAAGAACAGCAATGGGGGGACCAGAAAGGCAGATACCCCACCTCCCCCCCCCCCACCAGGCAGAAAACAAAAACAAAAGAAAAAACCCGCAAGAGGACAACATAATCAAGCGGAACAGAACCGGCCGCTGTCATAGGTGAAAACTAGCTGAGCAGTACCCCGCGCCCCTACCAGTGACAAAAACTACCCCTACCCAGAGACATCTCTGACACTTTTGTTGTAAAACAATTAAAGTTACTTATTTTATTCATGATTATTAACACTTTCGCAAAACGGCTTTTGAAAAAAAAAATTCCCCAAGTGAAATGAGCGTTTCGGCGATTGAGCGGCAACATTTAAAAGTGTATACTCCTTACTCTTTTGACTGTCCTGACGTTAATTTTCGATGTACGTATTTCATTTTTGTACCGATGTGCTCGCAATAGAATGTTCTAGAAGAACATAAGTATAAAATGTCACCAAAACATAAGTTAGATCAGCACCAAATAAAAAACTACGTCGATCACTAGCCGTGAGCACCAGACAGCAACAAAATGTTTCTACTATCTTCAGGGTTGTCAACTCCACACTTGTCCTACAGGGTTAATTTTGGTATCACTGAAATCGCAATAAAATTCTCTACACCGACATATGCATATAAATATAGAATCAATGTCACAACCAACCCACAAGAGTGTGGGAAGTAGCCGAAGTGTTACTCGAGGCGGCATATCGGCGAAACCCGCATTGAAAAGTATATATTCAATTCACTGTCCTGACATTATTTTTCAATGTACGTATTTCATTTTTGTACCAATGTGTTCGCAATAGAATGTTCTAGAAGAACATAAGTATAAAACGTCACATAAGGATGCGTTCGACCGGCAACAAATATAAAAACTGCGTCGATCATACTCGTTGTGTCAATAATACAATTGTTTTACCACAATGATTCACTGCCATGCCGTTCTCCCAAATAAGCTCTTCGGCAATTAGAGAAAACGTAAATTTCATGGCGAACATTTCTAAACTATCCCCAAGTAGATCGGATCGAAATTGGAATTTATACAAATATTTATTCTCGTGAATCCCGCCAGAGTCACCCTTGCGGAACCCGCACAAAACTTAGTGACGCGCTCGTGCGCCACCGAGTGGCGAAAGTGTTAAGTGGTGTTCTAGCCCCGACTTGTGCAGTGGTGCTTTGAGCTGCAGCTGCCTGAGCCAGCGTTGGTTGCTCTGGCAGTACTGAGGCTCACAGCCAGCAGGGATTCAGTCAATTTATTTTTTTCCAAGAAAAAACCAGCATCGAATG